CTTCATCATGATCTTGAAGTTGTGGTGTAGGAGCTTGTGTAGCTTGCCCAGAGTGGTGCGCATCAGTATCGGACTGATGGTCATTGTTGTCGTGATCGATGCGTCGCAATTGAGCAATCTGCGTACCTTCTGTTTGAGGGTCATCTGTTTGTTCGCCATGTGTAATGTCTGCTACATCGACTCGCTGTATCTTGTCCTTGTCGGGGTTCCAGACTCGTATATTGGCATCGCCTTCGCAGCCCATGAAGTAACCTAGCCATGCACGTGGATGCAATTTGCGTATCATAGGTCGAGTGCTACCATGAAAGGTTGACCTAGCCGTTTGAGGAATGGACACATAGGCTCGTGCACCCCATGGTCTCATATTAGCGACATTTGGCCTCCGGTCGTACATCGCTTCGTATGGTGTCTTCTTAGATTTGAGTGCGCGTGTTGGAGTACGGTTTTTGATGTAGACGGCATGCATCCAAGCTTCCGGCCATAGCTTTTCTGATAGGTTGGTGTTTGTGAGAGCTTGTTGAGTTTGAACGTCGACAATTCGGAGAATAGTGCTGAGGATGGGTTGTGATGTACCTAATTGAGCATCACCAAGGATAACAGCTGATCGATCCCGTGTAGTCCTAATGGCTCGCTCTGCAACTCCGTTTTGTTGATGTCGATGTGGTGCGCTGGGAGTGATGCGGATGCCTTCGTCGGCACAGTATTCCTTGAGTACCTTAGTGACGATGGCATTGTCTGTCTTGATGTTGCGAATGGTAAGTCCCTCTGCTGTACGAAGTTCCTTGAGTAACGTGATGACGTGCTTATTGGATTCAGCTCCCTTCATAGGCCGACTCCACTGATAGCGGCTGAAGTCGTCAATCACATTGAGCATGTGACTGACACCATCAGTTCCCTTGACACCGTATGGTCCCCAGACATCAATGTGAAGAAGATCTCCTGGTGCAGTACTTGTACGGCTGGCAGGATCTCTGGGTATGCGGACCACGGAGGTAGTGACCTTGCAGACAGGGCAACTCTGACCCATGCGTGCTTTGATTTCTTTCTTTGACACTGTCATCCCTTCAGACATGTCAACAAGTCTGCTCATGGAATCAAGACTCATATGTCCAAGGTCTCGATGAAGTGCCCACACACGGTCATTGAAGTTGAAGCCGGGTGTTGGTGTGGTATCTGGATCATCAACGGATTCAGTATCCTCAGTTGGTTGATCGTTGGCTTCATCATTACCATCCTCATCAACAGGGTTGACATCTTCGGTTGGACGATCGTTGTCGATATTGGTTGGTAACGTATTGGCCAGTGCGACATCAGTGGATGTGGTATTGATGATGTTGAATGTACTGTCATGGTGCATGTTGAGGTGAAAGAGACCATTGTGAACTGTGGAGTCCATGAGGAGTTCATCATTGTGAATGATGTTGAACGTGGTGTCGTCGATGTATCCTTTGGCTCCTTTGCTAGTGATCTGTGACACAGATAATAGATTGCACATAGCATCAGGTGCGTAAAGGACGTTGCTTAGTGTGACTTGGTTCCAAAGTCCTTGCTTGGTGTAAACGTTGATAAGTACCGTACCACCACCGGTGATGTCGAGGTGAACTTTGGTGTTTGCTATGTTGACTGACTTGACTGGTAGATCTGCAAACTCGGTAAACCATTCCTTGTTGTTGCATAGATGCATGCTTGCGCCGGAGTCAATGATCCATTCATTGATAAGAGAGTTACATGTGTCATCAACAAGAGCTAAGCCAACCACCGTTTTCAACTCCAATTGTTCCTTCAAACTCAGTCTATCCCCAATCTCCATAGTATCCTTTAGTTCATGCTCTAACCTGTGAGGTTGGTCAGCTGATGAACTGTAAGATATTGGAGATGGTTGCATACTGGTTTTGTTGGAGTCATTGGTATCGGTGTCGTTGTCAGACGTCATGTTGTATGTGTCAGGCCAGTCAGATGAATGACAGTTTGAGTGGAAGGCTTGACCATGAGGAAACTTGAAGGACTGTACGGTCTTGTGGAATGAGTCCGTGACAGGTGCTGGAACAAGGGCATCAGGATTGTCGTTCCAATCGATTTTGATTGTCTTTGATCCGCGGGTGCGTGGGATTTGTTTGTCGAGTGTTTCAAGGTTGAGGTGAGACGTAGATGCAAACTTGATTACAGGTTGCGACAAAGAAGAAGACGCAGTATCATTGACTGGTGCTTGCTGTGAAACATCGGAGTCGTTGACAGATACATGTCGTTGAGAAGCGGTGTTGGCGTCGTCGGGCCAGTCTGATGAGTGACTGTTGATGTGGAATGCAAGATGTTTGCTGTGAGAGGTCGTGACGTCAGACTGTTCTTGATTGGTGGGTTGCGCACTGTTGTCTCGCTTAGCTTCGATAGCTTGCCGGATTGCTGTTTCGGTGTCATCCTTGTCAGGGTTGAACACGAAGCTTGCTGTCTTGCTGGGTTGATTGTTATTCTTCTTGCGATCCTTCTCTTTGAGTTTCATCCACTCGGGTTTCAGTTCAGGATGTTTGACGAAACACTTGTCTTCCGAGTGGTTGTAGCCTCGACATCCTTCAACTGGACACTTGGTGTTCTCGTCTCGGTTCTTGTCGACATTAGTTGTTCTGTCTTTCTTGTCTTTGTTGTCTTTCTTTGAGTGTTTGGTCCGCTTGATGTCGATCTCGGCGTCTTGTAGTTGTCGCTTGATGTCGTCTAGTGCGGGCCACTGTGCTCCCTGTCGATTGTAGAGTAGATTCATGACACGAGTTGTCTCTTCGTACTCAGGAGTTAGTGATCTGAAGATCTTGGCTTGAATGGCTGTATCGTCATATGTTCCGTTGAGTTCTCGGAGATGTACAATGTGGTCTTCTAGCTGACTGAAGAAGTCGTCAAGATCTTTGCAGTGTCGCAGACTGAGTGATTCGATTTCTCGGTGAAGAATCTGGAGATTCTGATGATCGCTGAGTTGGTACTGTTTCTTGATGTACTGGAAGGCGATATCCGGTTTAGTGTGTTCGTTCAAGACTGATCGAATGGAGTCTGAGACATGGAGACGTAGGAGTGTCAGAGCCTTGCCTTCCTTCTTTTGATACTGGTGATATTGCGCGAGTGCTGCATCGTATTTCTTCTCAGCATTCTTCATCATTATCATTCGGTAGAATTCCGCTTCTCCGGGTGATATCATTGGTGGGACAAGGATGTTGTTGGCGTTTTCGGGATCCACTTGTGCGGAAGTGTCGCGTCGTACAGCATCAAAAGCTTCTTGTAGATAGGGTAGCATCTGAGGTTCCTCGATTTGCATCTGTGTACCGTTGATTTGGTTCCATACGTTCAGATACTGTGCGACGACCTTGATGTCTCGTTCCCATTTGGCGAAGTTTTGCTGTCCAGTAAGTTTGGTGATCTTGTATGCAGTGAGGTCTTTGACGTTCAGGTCGTTGCTGGACGTCTGGAAAGGATTTGACGTTGTCATCTTGGCAACGAAAGAACCCGGGCTCATAACCTGTTGAAAACTTGTTATATTAAGATGATGTTGTAACGATGTAGGAAGTACTCCTTATAACCCTCCTACTTCTCTTTGTTATGAGGTTTGACAGTAAAACAGCTTGTCAAAACAACAGTTTGACATGAATGGCATGGTTCGCATTCCGCTCGGTACACTCTCACCGAGCAGACGTGACCCAACGCATGTGGGCTCCACCGAAAAACGTCGGATCTGGGCCTTGCCTACCACGAACGACGAGGTGCAGTGCGTCCGGGCCCTGGCTTGTGGGTGCGTGTGTACCACAGTGATTCGACCTATCGGAATTGCGCTGAGAGTATTGTGGGACGCACGTTAGGTGGGTTTTTGGCGTGCTGGGGGAACCGGCCGATGCGGTTGGACTGCAGGACGTCATGTAGGGCTGAGAAGAGCGCTGGGGATCGCGCGCAAGCGATTTGGTAGTAGTATCGATAGTAACGGCTTTGACGGCAGGAACGACTTTTCACATTTCGCTGGTGCGGCTGTAGAGTTCGCATGGCTTGTTTCAGAAAACCAAGGTCCGCGTTATTGTTGGCGCTGGCGTTGGTGTTGGTTGGTCCTGACAAGACGCGGCTGTTGACGTCGTCTGTGTGGTGTTTAGAGTTCTGGGGAAATCCGGTTCGGGACCTGTCGACGTCAGAGTTGTCAGATAGCGAGGAACATCTTTGACGGAAATGGTTCATGCGTCCAAGACGTATGTGCCGCGGAAGGTTTTACTCGCCCTGGAAAGAAGGTGTCATTGTTCTTACGCTAGAAGATCGTCACGTTCATGGGTACGTGGGTTAAGCGGTGACCCTTTCAAGGTTTGCTCGGCTCCACGCGCATGACGCCCGTTATCCACTGTTTGGCTTTGACTACATCCGATGTTCCGCGGAGTGTGCTGCATGTTGTTTTGGGTAAATATCTCGTTGCGAGTTTATGCGCGAGGGTTATATGATGTGAAGGCATCGGAAGGGCATTGTCGCGTCAGTGTTTACTGATCATGATGCGCTGCTTGTTTGTGGTCGTGAAACTATTGGTTCGAGTTGCTACTATGGATGCGCGCGTGCATGATTATTCCGCGGTGCAAAATATATTGCGCGCATGTATTTTGAGAAAGGTGTTCGGAGATCTGAGTTGCAGAGTGATGGATCGCGATGGTGCGTCCACGGTATCTCAGCTATGGCTGATGTGAGCGCTGTTCCGTAGTACGGACGTCTTTGATACCTACTGAAGGAAATATTGACGTTTCAGACCAGGCACGCTTTCGCCTAGATAAAATACAACATGTGGTCAACCTATTTCGGGCAAGTTGCTGTGTTACGGTTTCAATATGAACATTGCTATGGTCTTACGCAGTTCTGTCTCTCTATCCGCCATTGGTTTCAATACACCACATACAATATGGTACATCCAGGACTATGTATCGTCAACATGGACAAAGGCTGAATACTTATTGGTAGTCATCACCATCATAGTCGCAAGAGCTAGTCTAACTCCTCCTTTCCTATATATGAGGCAACAGGTCTGACCATTCCACACTACGGAAGCTACTCGCAGGAAGTGCCCTAAGACCAGCACATCCTTCTACAATGATGAAGATTCGCGCGATACCATATGCCCCAATATGGGTAACAGTGAGCAAGTACTGGAAGAAAGGATGTATATGAGGGAGGTACTCCGTAACAGTATCCACTTGCGGGATACCTGTCCACCTACAAAGATTGGGTAGTTGCCAGATCATCAAGATCCACAAGTTGCCGAAAGAAAATCCAACTCCGAGAAGTGTTAGACATGCAGCTCGCGAAAGAGTTTGTTCCAAAGATGTTGGAAAGTGGAAGTTCCACGAGATGAAATGTATCAGGATGAAAGTGAGTGCTGCAGTCGTGGAAATCATCCATTCCGTCACAGTCACCTTGCCCGGGTTCATACGCGCAGTGTTTTTGAAGCGCGTGATGGGTACATGCTTGGAGTCAGTACCAATTCGTAACAAGTACTCGAAAGCCCACATGATAGGATCGAGGATCTGGAAAGGATCTGGATGCGGGTTGATGAAGTCGAGCGGCGTAAGTTTCCACGGTCTTTTCGCTATGTCAGGGTCTGCTAATGCCAGCACATCGCTCAGTTGAAGTGATCCTTCCATATACAAAGTGACTGTCGTATCAACGTCCAATGGCTTATGGAACCAGAAATAGAATGTCGGAATAGTGCATAGCACGATAGCAACCACGTCGAGCTCGAGCATCGAAACGTGGAGCTGCTGAACGGCGCGTCCGATGCATTGAAGAGCAAACCAGAGTATCTGGATGGACGTAAGGATACGAACGAAAGCGTCTGCTTTGTTCTTGTCTTGTATGGTGTCGCGGTGTATGCTAGGGTAATCGACAAATCCATGCTCCACAAGGTAGCGAACCTGATGGGCGTTTACGGGAAAGCGTGGATAGTCCGGAGAATCAAGCATAAAACCGCCCATGTCGGCGAAGAAGGCATGGGTCATGGACCAGTCGGAATATCCGAGCTCATGGAAAGCGGCTACCGAATGTCGTGCGGAGAGATATTGGACCTGAGCGAACGACGCAAGGATCTCTGGAAAGAAAATGGTAAAGGCAACCCATGATAATTTTGTCGACAGATACGATCGGAAGCTGTGCTTGTCGGGTACGTTGAGGAATAACACCGACCAACTGCATAAGAACACAGTGACAACGCAGCTCCAGATTATGTCTATCGTCCCGCGTGCGTTTGGCGAGGCGACCCAACCGTTGACCAGAGGCGTTTCCATTCGTTTTGGCGTGGGATAATTCCGGTAATCTATAAGGCGTAATTATGCACACAATCGTCTTCTTTACGGTACCTAGATACACCGACTTTATCGAGATGAGGCTGAAGACAGTACACCCTGTTTCCATCGACGGCAGTTCGCATTCAGGGGTTGCTTACTGTTACACAAATTCATTGAACTGCAGTAACGTTGCATCATGAACATTCAGAAAGGGTCGAGTGAAACCCGTTCGAGGTTAGGTTTATCAGGTCCCATGTAAGTAGAAGATGCTTCGATTGGTTTGGCTGCATTGATAGTACTGCATATGCAAGGCTGGACTGCGCGAGGCTGCGAGGCTGCGTGGGGGCGGGAACGGCGGGACCATGCAGCAGACGAAGCGCGGGAACATGAGCTAGGGAAAGGCCGCTCTGCCCATGGCTTGGAGGCTAGATCGCTGGCAGTGGACGTCTTTAATATTGGCAATGTGCTGGGATTGAATCAGATGGTTAGCATGCTAATACCTTGCCGCAGAGTATATGTGGGTGCTAGATATAGTAACAGTATGGATATGTTGGTATATTGTGTGTTGGCATGAACAATTTGCTGGGCTTTATGCATCCCGAGGTCTGTCGGTGCTGAATAGGTTGCCGGTATGGTAAACATGTGAGTGGTGGAAAGTGACGGGGCCGAATCCTTTGACGGGCGTAAAGATTTGACGGGGCTGAATGGTCTGCCGGGCGTGGATGGTTTGACGGGGCTGAACAATCGGTCGAGGTCGAATAGTTTGCCGGTATGATAAACATGCCGCGCGTGAATGTGTCGCTGCTGAATAGTGTCGGTATAGTAAGTTGCCGCGCGTGATTAATCTGCCGGTGCTGAATGGTTTGCCGGTATGGTAAAGATGCCGCGCGTGAATCACTTATCGATATGAGAAGATTTGACGGGCGTGAGTCCTTTGCCGATATGCCGGGCGTGAAGTTTGACGGGCGTGAACGTGCCGGTGCTGATTCACTTTAGGGCTTGCCGGTATGGTAAAGATGCCGGGCGTGATAGCTTATCGATAGCGAGCATCTTGTCGGTATGAGAAGATCTGTCGATATGGTAAACATGCCGGTGCTGAATCCCTTGCCGTGCGTGAATGGTCTGCCGTGCGTGAACCACTATCGATAGCGAGCAATTTTGTCGGTATGGAAAGAACTGCCGCGCGTGAATCATTCGCCGGTATGGTAATCTCTCGGTGCTGAATCAACTTAGCACTTCCAACTGCGAATGTTTATATCAAGCATCCGCTCAGGCACACGACCAGGAGACAAGACGCAATCGCACACCTCTGGAGACACTCTCAGCGTAATGCCATGCTTCATTCAAATACACAAACACTAAACCCACCAATCCGTTATTGCAACGCCATATCCTACAGCTCACATACAAGAGCGTTTCACCGAGCCAGGTAAAGTATGCCTTTTGTTCCCTATCTCCTGTCATATCGTCGCGCCCGCCGGAAACGAAACAAGTTGTGTGTAATCGACGACGATTCTAGGTAAGCTTCTGCTTGATGAAGAAAGCTCGCAAGTGCGATAGTTGCCAGACGCATGTCACACCCAGAATAACGAGTTGGATGAGGGTCCAGCGGACGACGCGGGAGTTGGTGTGTTCGGACTGGTCGCGGAATTCGGCCTCGCGTTCCTAGAAAAGATGTTAGCCGGTGTTTTTCTATTGTCTCCCCCAGGCGATGGGTGGACGCCAAACGTACTCTCTGGAAAACTTGCTCCCTCCTGACGTCCTGCAACCTCGAGTTCAAGTCCTTGACTTTCTGCACCAGCGTCTGGACTTTGTCCTTGTCCGTGCTCTCGATCCTGCTCGTCTCTCCGATCGCCATGTCCAGCGTGAACTTGACTGTGCCGTGTACGCCTGAGCTCAACCAGCCACCGCCGCTGCTCGGTACGTTCTGGGGTGTCACGCAGATCCTATGTTGGCCGCTGTCGGCAGCGCTGAAAGTGAAGCGTCCGTTCGAGCTACCCCGTTGGGCAACGATACGGTGGTTGTTGTCGAAGGTCTCCTCTACGGTGACGAAGACGCCGACGTCGGGTTTGGTTTGGTAGGTCTTGGTTGCGTCGTCCCATGCTTCGGCGTGGTAGTGGCCTGGGGTTTGTTAGCCGTGGGTTCTCCCGCTGACTCTGCGACGTCTCCGGGCCGCGAGACTCAATCATGAGGAAGTGTCGTACCAACAACCAGCGTGTCCTTGGGCAATTCCTCGTAGAAGCACTTCTGGACCGCTCCGTCCATGAAGAAGTGCAGCGCTTGTGACGGCACCGCCAGCGCGGCTGCGAGCAGTAGTGTTGGTTTCCACATATCTGCGATCTTAATCCCGCGCGGAGGACTGATTGTAGCGCGGAGTTTGAGTGGTGGGTGAGCTGGTCACTTGGGAATCTTGAAGCTCGTATGCTCGAGATCGCGAAACTCCAGGTGTACGTTCCGAAAGCGGTTAGACCTCCGACACGTGCCCGCGTCGCTCCCTCCGGGGCGTCTTGACACTACAGCACCGCGACTTCACCCGCAGTTCTCTACTATCCTCCCTTTCGATGCTCAAGGCTTCAACAGAGCTGTCAGGTTATGGCGATACATGCATTCCGGAAACTCGACACGACAACTGTAAAGGGCTGCTGCAGTTGCTGATGGCAGACCAAAGTACTGTCGTCGTAGTGTGAAGACAACATAGTATGCTACTACATACGGGTGGATAGATGCGAGCTCACGTAAGACTATCTTCATTCATCCAGTCGAGTCAGCGGCGATTATACCAGGAGTCGACTCAATCCAGACACCTCCGAGGCCAACCCCGCAACTACAACATATAACCTAGGTAAACAGATCGTGTTCATATTTCCAGCCGCATCGACCAAACTCTTCTCTTTTCACAGTCTTTCAATCTTCCTTAACTCAAATACACATAACCTGATCTCCTCGAGACTACTATCTTCACAAAACTGCACCTATCACCAAGCACACCAACAACCCTCTATCAAGCCGTGGACCAGCCAAATCCACATTAACCAAACAATGACACTGTTCACGCCCTCCCCCTCCGCCCTCAAAACCCTCTCCAACACCCCAAAAACCATTCTCATAACCGGCGGCTCCTCCGGCATCGGTCTCGCAACAGCAACCCTCCTCTCCTCCCTAAACCCATCCCACAACCTCATCCTACTCGATCTCCAACCCCCACCTGCAACTTTCAAGCACTCGGCTTCCAACCTGCTATTCCATAAGTGCGACATAACCTCCTGGCCCTCGCAACGCGCCGGTTTCGCCGCAGGCTACGCACGCTTCAGCCGTATAGACAGTGTATTCGTCAACGCAGGGATAGCCGAACACGGCGACCAATTCTTCGACGATGCGCTGGATAGCGACGGGGAATTGGCGGAACCAGATCACCGGACGCTAACGCTGGATATGAATGCCGCGGCTGCCACGACCAAGCTCGCCATCTACTACCTGCGGAAAAACGGGGCAGAGGGTGGTTCGATTGTGTTGACGGCGAGTCTAGCGGGGTATCTGGCTTCAGCGGGTGCGCCGTTGTATTCTGCGGCGAAACATGGGGTGGTGGGCTTGATGAGGGCGTTGAAGCAGGAATGTGCGAAACTGGGGATTAGCATATCCGTTGTCGCGCCTGCGATTACGGTTACGCCTATCTTAACGGCGAATAACACTAAGTTGGCTATGCAGCCTGATGTGTACGCGAAGCAGATGGCGGAGGCGGGTGTGCCGATTAATCGACCGGAAGCTGTGGCGTTGGCGGTGTGTTGGTTGTTCAACGAGGGCAGCAAGGCGAATGGTGCGGGCATATTCATCCAAGCGGATCGATTTGCGGATTTGGAGACGGGGTTGGCGAAGAGCAGGCAGGCGTGGATGGGTAAGGAGATGTTGGATCTGTTTCGTGGGGGAAGAAGCGCGCCGTTGTTTGCGAGGCTGGAACAGGAGGAGGTCAAGGCGAAGATATAAGTAGTTGCATGAGGTAGGATGATGTTGTACATTCCTGCGCTATGCAGTGGATAGTGATGATGCATCGTATAACAATACCAATAGGGCTATTCCAGTCCCTTGTCCATATCCATATCTGTATCATATTCCCAATGACGAATGTTTTCCCTTCTTGCCAATCCAATCCCAACGCCATCGCTATGCTATCAAAAGCAGAAGTCAAAAGTATAAACCACACTCCCAGTCAAAGCCAGCCCCCTCATTTCCTCGCCCGTTTGCTACTGACTTCACTGCCTTGAGAGAAGACACTGGCGCTCCGCTTATGGCTTTGTCCCGTCGCACCTTGACTGGTTGCTCGAGACTGCTGTTTACTACTCTCATCTTCGCCTTCTGCATCCACGTCGCCATCGTCGTCTTCGCCGTTGAAACCACCCTCATCTTCTTCACCTTCGGCGTCATCATCGGGGTTGTCAGCGTCGTTGTTATCTTCGCGGTCGTCCCTATCGGCTTCGGCATCATCGCCGTAGTTTTTGTTGACGTCGTCTTCGTCTTCCTCGTCGTCATTCTCCCCGTCGGCGTCGTCGTCCCCACCGGGTGTTTGTTGTTGTGATTCAGGGACTTCTTGTTTTGGTTGTCCTTCGCCTCCTTCACCACCGCCATCTCGTCGGGCCTTCATAGCAAGCAAGACTTTGCACTCTCCCTCCTCCTTCTCTCGGACCTTACGCACGTCGAGTAGCTTGCTAACTTTCGATACGAGATTCTCAAAGACTTCGCCGACCTTGCTCGTTGGTATGCTGACGATGTCACTAACGCCCAACGCCGCGAGCATTTGGCCGATCTTTTGTGTCTGGACGTTGCTCTTTGCTTGTCGCATCTTAAGCAGCTTGTCCGAGCCAAATGTGACACCCGAGGTAAGTCTCTCGTGTGTTGAGACGTTGAAGCGGTGTTCTTGATGTGGAGAGAGGTGCTTGACAGGCGTCTGGGCGGTGGGTTGTTGGTTCTGTGCCATGCTTTGCCGCCGATTTGCTGCCGAGAGCTGT